AATTTTCAACAAACACCGACACGAACGGTAAGAGGCGTTCCCCTTCACCAAAAACTTTAACCCAGGGATACGCGTTCCGTAACACCCTAAACTATCATGCGGGTTTCACGATGGGTACACCCGTCGGAGCCTTTAAATTGGGGTTTGGTTCCTGCCACCGGAGCCACCTAGGTTCATAACGACCCTCTAACCTTGTTCAGGAAGCCGGCATGTAGTGGCGTAGAACATGTGTTGGTAAATATGTTACTTTGTTGCATTTGTTATCACCAAAAATGTGTTCCGTGAAAGTAAAGCAAGTTCATAATTAGATAGACATCGTGAGGTATTTATTTTCGGTACAGTTTATGTTGAAACCGTTAGAGAGAGTGGCACACTTGTTAGCCTGTTCCAAGCCTGCTTGGAAGTATACTTGCTTCGTTTCTGAAGGAAGTGACTTGGAAGTATGCGACTACCAAGCCAGTATCCTCGCGATTGAGAAACGGCCAGAGTGCTGCTGTGTCTTCTGTCATCATTAATGGACGTCTCTTTAAAATGACCGCTCAGAGGAGAGGAGTTCTCAGTTTCAATTCTCTAACCGCCTGCTGCTTCCCCTCTTTTCTCCTCGGTTCCCCTCCTCAGTCCTCCGCTCGCATCTCCTGTGGGCGGGACTAAGTCTCGAGGATGGGAGTCGAGGAGGGGAGCCGAGGAGGGGAAATTTAAGAATTGAGAAGCCTCTCGTGTGTGTAACAAGACGATCCACAAGCAGAGATTTGAGATCCACGAGCAGAGATTTGAGATCCACAAGCGCATTTTTGGTCGACAAATACAAAATGGATTCACAAATGCCTGATCAAAAGTTGTAAATGTTAAAGAGATTTTCAAAGATCTTATTTTTATTTGTAAAAATATTTAGTGTATTTGCAGATCCGTTTTACACTTGCAAATGTATTTGTGAGTTTGCAAATCTTTTAAATGCATTTGTGGATGGTGTTTTACATTTACAAATCCCATATTTACACACAAATTATTTTTCTGTTCACACAAATAATTATGAGACATATCTATGCCCATAAAACCACACCAGTAAACCAGCTCACACTGTCCGCGCCTCGCAGCAGCGAGTCTCCCACGTAGCATTCTCATCTGTTTGTCATTACTGCTGTCATTCTCTGGTTGCTAACAAACGCCATTGTAACACATAATCACTGATGTCCCGCTGTAACGGTGGTGGACTCATCAGAACAGAGTGGGCGAGCTGACCAATCAGAGCACACTGGGCTCACAGTCAGGGGGGGGGGGGAGCCCCAACAAGCTGTTTAGGACAGAGAGTGAATACACATACTATACAGAGATGCTGTATGAGAAACCAATGTGAGTTTGGAAAATTGCACAATACAAATCTATTCTAGACCTCACAAATTGAATTATGATCAGTAGAAATGGCTATGTCATGGGACCTTTAAAATCCTGAACTGAATTCTTCTTCTACCCCTGTATTTCCAGCCCTCCCTCCAGGGGGCAGCAGCGCTCCTACAGCCCGTTATAGAGGCCATATCGCAGAGGAGAACAGGAAGAAGAAGTGTTCCTGTTGACATGTGAAGCTAAAGTTTATCAGCTGGAGGCGGTGAGCTGTCATAATGTGAGCTGAGGGTCCTGCAGGCTGCTCTGCAAGGAAATGGACGAGATAAGGTCGGATACCAAGTTTCTTATTTATTAACGTTACAGTTTATGTCCTTTGTTTCAAGAAACCACGTCTAACTGTTCATATGGTTAACCCTGGATTTTTCTCTGTTTAATAGCACTCACAACTCGTGACACCCGGTTCATCTTTTCTGAAAAGGCTATGAGTTAAATGTGCAGATATTTGCACATGATGCAATGTTGTTATGAACATGAATATACAGTCTGATTCATCTGTTGACTCTTTTATGAAAGTACCTCATTATAGCTGTGGAGTAGCCTACTAAACCGGACATGGCTGTAAAACTGATATAGAAATGTAGCATAAGTTAATTTTTTTTAATATTGAAATGAATGAACAGCAAAAAATTCAAAATAACATAAAATAGACAAAGAAACAGAGAAACACTTATAAGTGAGTTTTGAATGTAAGGAAATTAGGAATCATAATCAATCGTGCAATCATAATGTTACTCTAGTAAAAGTACAAAAGTATTAGCATCAACATATACTTAAAGTACCAAAAGTGAAAGTAGTCATTCTGCAGATTGGTCCATTTCAGAATAATATATATGATATGTTTTATAATTATTGATCATTAAAGTGTTATTAAAGCTGGTAAAGGTGCAGCTATTTTGAATTACTTTGAATACTGGGTAGCTTGTGAATTTACTCCAGGTTTAACTAAAGTCTTATTTAAGTGTTGATTATATTTCACATCATTAATCCAAATCTGTAAAGTAACTAAAGGTACTAAATAATTGTAGTGGCGTAAAAGTACACAGTTTACCTGTGAATTGTAGTAGAGTAAAAGTACAGTAGCATACAATGGAAAGACTGAAGTAATGTACAAGTATCTCAAAATTGTACTTGAGTAAATCTAATTAGTTGCTTCCCACCTCTGCATGCTAGTTACTTTTACACTTTAAAAACGAATGTATTCACAAAAACTGTTTGAAACTTTTACTTCATATATATATTTCTATATATTAATATTTCAATTGGTTCCTTTAGTAAACTTAAATAACAAAACAGTAGGCCTATTGTGATTTAAAACCAAAAATCTGATTACTTAGTTCTGCTTCATTAAGCACTTTACTTAGCATGTAATAGTACAAACTTTATTTAAAAAACAGTTTGGAAAAATCTCAGTATATTGACCCTAAATATTAATTTATTGCCATGTTTTCCTGTATTTCCTAACGTTCTGCCTGTACAGTAACTATGGTTTGATCATTAATTACAACATACATGTCTGACTAAAGGTTTATTTGGAAAGCTGATTCTTGGAGATCTACATTGTCTCTGTGTGAGGATTGTGTGGCTTTGCTAAGCGTTTGTCTCATTCTTTGTTTTATTGACTTGTGAAGCACTTTGTATCCATTTATGTACTTAATTTGTAACAAGGTCCATTCGATTCTGTATTAAGATGTCCTTATACATTTTACCTACATTCAGAATAATTTAAATCTTTATCCTTTCATGCTTATGCATAGGCTTTTTTCAGAAGACATTTTAGCTAGGAATAATATGGAGCTAATTTCCTGCCATAACTCCACAAACAAACAAAACAAGTTTTACAAATGCCTTATGATTCATTAACAAACACAATGTGGTTTGCAAATACAAAACACCATCTACAAACTAATGTATTTCGTTTTGCAAATAAAAAACGTATCTATCAAACAAACACATAACATTTTTCTAATAAATCATGTTTCACAGACAAATTCAGCATAGGTTTTACAAGTACAAAACTTTTTTTTTACAAGTAATATAGAGTGGCGAAGTCACGCCCATCTACTTCCGCCCCATGGGAGATTCTTTCTGAAAAATTATGCATTGAAGTCAATGGAGAGAGAAAACGTATCTTTCGATCCCGTTTGAATTGTGCCATGAATTACACATATGATGTTTGTCAATCTTAAAAAATCCTTTCCATGTCAAAAAAGTCACAGTTTGTCTTAAAACTGTTGAAATATAAGACTAGGAAAAATACGCAACTAAAAAGACTACAAATCCCAGAGTCGGGTACATTAAGGTTACATATTACACTCGTGTTACTCACTGAAACCTTGTATAGCCAGTCCCGCATGCTGGCTCTTACGGAACCGACTAACTCCCCTTTTTTTTACTTGTAGTGATTTTCACCTCTTTTAATACTTTTCACTTCATTCTGAAAGAAAGAGGATTCCATGTGCTCTAACATGACGGCCATCTTGGTGTTGGTGATGTATGCAAGACCAGAGTTGTAGCTCATTGAGCACTTCACACAAACATTTTTGTTACTTCACAGTTTTACGAAAAAATTATCTTTGAAATTGACAAACATCATATGTGTAATTCGTGGCACAATTCAAACGGGATCAAAATACAATCTTTCTCTCTCCATTGAGTTCAATACATGATTTTTCCGAAATAAGGTCCCATGGAGGTCCCCCGGAAGGAGAGGGACTTCGCCACTCTATTCCGCCGTGACAAGAAAAAGTGTTGTACTTGTAAAAAAAAGATTTGTATTGCCAAAAGTCACGTGCCTCACTCCCGTGACTTTTGGGAGTAATATTCCGCCGTGAGAAGAAAAAGTTTTGTACTTGTAAAAAAAAGTTTTGTACTTGTAAAACCTATGCTGAATTTGTCTCTGAAACATGATTTATTAGAAAAATGTTATGTGTTTGTTTGATTGATACGTTTTTTCTTTGCAAAACTAAATGCATTAGTTTGTAGATGGTGTTTTGTATTTGCAAACCACACTGTGTTTGTTAGTGAATCATAAGGCATTTGTAAAACTTGTTTATTTTGTTTGTGGAGTTATGGCAGGTAATTAGCTCCATATAATAAGGTGTGAATATGGATATTAATGATCACTGTCACACTCTATAGTCTCACATTGTAACTCAAAATGACTGCTGTGAAAATGACCCGCTGTGTCCAATGTGTTCCTCTTGCACAGTCCATTTCTAGGCGTTACATGCATATCTTGAATCCCCTCTTGCTTGTTTCCTACTGTGGTTGCTTGAGTACTGTACTATGCATTTCCTGCAGATAATTTATTTTCTCCTTTTATTCATGTACGTATTTTTTTCTTTTCTTTCACATTCACTATTAACAGTTTCTCTGTTGATCAATGGTCGTTGTCGTAGATAAAACAGTATAAAATAGTAAAATTGAAACAAAAAGTAACTCCTCAAGGTAAGTGTGTTTGCTGGCACCCAACACACCATTAAATCCCTTATATTCTCAAAACACTTTGGTACAATACATTTGAATATAAGGGATACAGAAGATCATTTAGTGAACTTAATGAACAGAACTACTGTATCTCTCAGTCGCTTATTAATAAAGGATCCTTTTATTTTATTTTTCAAACTGCAGTCCTTTGTTGGGCAACCAGAATTCTGGGTATCCACAGGAAGATCCAGACCCTCTGTCTCCAAACCTGAGGCCAAGACACCGGGACCTGATCCCCACACCATGTGGACCGGTGAGCTGCAGGGACACAACCCACAGTTCAACTTGAGCAGTATAATGACTTAGAGCAGGGGTGTCCAAACTACTGCTTACATTGTACTTCATAAATATATATGTTCAAATATATTACACAGTATTCATGTGTTAATAAGCCCAATTTTCAAATAAATCCAGTCCATTAAGTTGAAAACATGTTCTAACAAATCTAAGTTGATTAGAAAAAAAAGACCAACAACAAATGTACATAACAACCTTGAAATATACCCTTCATATTTCCTCTTATTATAAGCAATCTGAAGCTTCTGTTTTAAAGGGTAGGTAAGAATGGAGAAACCAGCTCGAGTGCACTAGAATTCCCCGTCCTTCAGACTTCCTTACAGAGCCCCTCCTCCAACACACACGAACGCGCACATGACCAATGAGGGCACGAGATAAGTTTGTGCACGAGATGGAAGGCTGACAGGCAGGTAGGCCATCCAATTATCTGCCGTGGGCCGAGGCAGATAATTGGATTTGCTTTTTACAGCGCCACGGATTCCACAGATGAAATATTTGTATATATTTATAGTCAAAGCATTTAATTTATTTATTGCTATCAGGATGTTAAGAGCATTCCATAGAATATAACAAAAAGTGTTTCTGAGGTGAATTACCTACCCTAGCTTTAAGGTCTGTGTTTAACACAGGTTGAAGACATTTTTAAATGTTCTGTGTAATGACTTTAAAGTCATAACACAGAACATTAGCCGCCTTTAGCTTAGCGGTGGCAAATTATATGAAGTCATGTAGACGAGATGTAGTTTGTTTATAGGTTAGCTTTTTACTTCTGAAGATTGCTTTTACCATAGGTGCAATAATCATAAACATATGTTTGCCACAGTTTTTGCAGAATTCCAAAATCTGATGCAAAAATCACATTGGTTTTTGACAAGGGACCACCTAATACGATAACTTCCGTGTCGGACTACAAAATCCTGACATCACCACTTATTTATGTGCCACTTGGTCCTGGCAACATTTGGACGTTAAAGAGCTCAAAAGCAACCTCTTGATAATAAAGATTCAAGAATGGGATGATGCTTTTGTAAGTAGTCATTTCTATTTATAAATCCACTGGTCTGCTAAGGTCTCAGTTGAGGGCTGACTCACGATTTGTCATTGCCGCTGTGTCTGTCGAAGTCTCGTTTGCCACGGGAGTCGAAGCCCTCTCCCCGGCCCATGCCCCGTCCTCTTCCACCGCGCCCACCCCGTCCGCCACCACGCCCTCTGGGGGGCCTGTCTCCAGAAGGCCTAATGGACACAAACATAAAAATAAACCGTATCGGTCGTGATCAACACTTAAGCTCATGTGACAGAGATGCATATCTGCTCTTAATGCCTGTGACAGTACAAAGCTTCACATAAATTACAGACGGCAGTGATGTTGAGGTTAAGTGAGCTCGGATTATATCAAACACTTAATCCATGCATACACCCCCACATGGTTGTGTGACCGAGGCAGACAGCCTTGAGTTTATCAGCCTGTCTATATGTGCACTTGGTTATTCATCACAGCTACCCACTTGTCCACGGAGAACTCTCCACCTCCCTCAGGCTTGTCCTCAGTCGGCTTCTCAAAGCGCCGCTCGCGAGGAGGTCTCCGGTCCGGCCTCTTGTCTCCAGGTCGCCCTTCACCCTGCCCCCCCTGGTTCTGGGAGCCAGGCTGGCCCTGCTGGTCTGGTCTTCGGCCCACTCGCCTGATACCTTATGATCAGGAGCATAGAGTCAAACCTTCAGAAGGCAGTGATTTTTCTTAGTACTATAACTCTTTATTGTAGTTATTTGTGCCGGTGACAGTCAGCACTTACTGTTTTTTAGAAAACACTTTATTGGGCAAGAAAAAGTGGGTAAATGAAGTACCGTAATTTTCGGACTATAAGCTGCGCCTTTTTTCCCATTTTTCGACGCTGCGGCTTATATAATGGTGCGGCTAATCTATGGATTTTTACAGCTAACGGCCACTAGGGGACCTCCTAAATCTATGGATTTTACAGGTTACAGTCCACCACCTTTAACTCTATGGGCTCTATGGCCGGTCCGCGCCCCCCACCTTTAAGCGGCGGGCTCCAGCAGGAAAAGCTGGAGGCCGGAAAAGAGTGAGACAGGTAGCGCACAAAAGTAAAAGTGGAACCGAGAGTGGTACGAGAGACAGAACGAGAGCAAGACAGCAGGACATATACGAGAGCGAGACCAGTTTGTCCCGTTACACAACTGGGTTGAAAACCGATTGCTGTAGGATCACTGCCGGCGGGTAGCGGCTGGGAGCGCAACCGTTTGAGAGTTTGAAGAGTTGAAAGTTTGTGTGTCCTGGAAACTCCATGTGATACAGGTACATTTACCACGCACAGTACATGGGGTTCTGTAGGCGTAGCTAATGCGGACGGATATATGGGTACACGTTGAGATTGAGAGTTATGGCGAAATATGCACGTTGTTGTGAGAAGGTTAGGATGCCACCGGAATTTCGGCCGCCGAATTTATCGGGCCGAAAGGTTTTAGCACTCGAAAGACTATCACCGAATGTCAGGGAACAGGTTACGTGGTAAGCTACGTGTTGTGTTGTGACGATCAAACGCGGCGAAAGCAATGCGCGGCGACCATGCTCGCCAACATGTCTGGCGCTGGAGGTATTAAAAATATCAGAGAAAGAGGCGCGGATTGCGGATTTGTAAAACGTGTTCAGCTGACATTTCTCTGAGGGAGTGTAACTGCAAAGACTTTCCCACCACTTCGGTATACTCCACCACTTGAAATCAAAACACCCGGGACAAATATCGAGTAAGATCAAATCACAGCACTGACAGGCGAGAGGACGTTCAGAGCGAGCTGCGCTATCTACATGTGGCTGAGAGAAGCAGGAGCAGAGTCTTATGGTGCTGCCTAGATTAAAGCAGAAGAAGCGTGCGTGTTCACTACAAAAGTAAACCTCCCACTTTCCTTTAATAAGTCTGCGACCAAGCTGGCTTATCATAAAGCAGTGTTCACTAGTTCTCATGCTAGCTACTACTGGTATAGCCCAACTTCTGAGAGTCTACTCTTCATCTCGCTGAGTTCTCAGCTCAATCAGCCAACATCGATGCGGTTATAGTCGCGGTTAGGGGAATAATTGACAGCAGCACAGTGTTCCTAAATATATCTAGTACTTTAGTCGTCTCTCTCTTACATATACATACAGACATCTGTTCGCCTTATGCATGCTCTATGTAGGAGCCGAAGGCCCCTCGAGTAGCAATTCCAAGTAGCTTAACGGATTAGACCACTGGCTATACTTTGTCGCTCTTCGAGACACTGGTGTATCCTCTCTGTAATTGATGTGGATTCTTGTATCGCAGTCCTTCTCAGCTGATAGTATCTGTAGTGGCCTTACTCGCGAGAGATGTCATCATTACTTTGCTATGAAGCACACAACGATGCGAGCGAGAACTACATTACAGGGTTCTGAAATCTGAATTTAATTTCATTGTAAATAGTACATTCATGTGGATTTATCCAGTCGCACATGGCGTTGTCTCGTGGGACTCAAGACGCGCGGGTGTACTTCTCTCTCTTCACTAGTGGCGGATGTGCCAAAACAACTAGCGCTTAGGAGGCGCGGCCCCAGGACTGCGGTCCTGAAACGCATGTCTCCGACGCTGCAGCTCGATACGTATCTGATGCGGAGACGACTGGCTTAAGCCTGCGTCGGTCTCCTCTCTGAGATCGGAGTACGCCGAGGGCCGTGGGCGGTGCGAGGGGAGCTCGGGAGTGTCGGGGAGCGTCGGGACCGGCACCGGCTCGTGCGTGCGACTGGCAGCGCGTCGGCCAGCAGCGAGATACCGCGATGGCCATGGAGAAAGCCTTCCTCTGACGCCTCATGGCCAGGCGAACGGACGGCGGGCGGGCAAACAAACCGGAAGAGGGGCTTGAGGACAAACGCAGCGCGCAGGCCGGGGGCGGAAACATACAAATAGCTTACAAAAGAACAGGACCTCATAAATCCTGTTTCAAAAAACACCGCAAGGTCAATGGAAGATAAAACTGTTGAGGATCAACAACACAAATCCGAAGGCAGCTTTGGAGACATTGAGCATCCCCTCACACCGTAAAAGCGATCAAGTACTATCATCTTCTCATGAGCAAGGGTAGATTTCTCTGCCTATCAGCATCACAGCGCTCTCAGATCCCAAACCTCCACCGGCGCGCACCAGGGCGAATAGCTATCAAACTTATAGACCCACGAGTCCGCGCGGCAAGACCGAAGGGGGCTATGATATGCCAAACCACCAACCCGCAACAGGCGCAGCAAACCCAGATGCTCAAGAAAACTCTCACGACCAAAGCCAGCACTGACCAACTAATTAACTAACTAGCAAAGACTACGTAAAAACATATAGTCTCTGGCGGGGGTCCCAACAAAGAACCACACAAGCACGAAAAGACTAAGCCCCAAACTCGCTCATAACAGATACCTTAATCGAAGCAAAAAGCTCAACCACAAATAATTGGACAACATCATTAAAACCCAAACCAATACTCGAATCAAGCACAGGCCCCCAAAGCAGCCTGAAACATAACAGAGAATGCGCTACCTACGTGCAACGCCCATAACAACGCTGCCAATAGATCCTAACTCACCTAGAATAAAGGTACTATCACAGCTACTGGTAAGGATGAGATGCATAGAACTTCCCTGAGAGCGAAACATAATTATACAAGCTCGACCGAAAAGTAAAGTCTTGCATTCCACACCATATCCGGAATATACAAAACCAAGAGCCAATACTATAATAGCTATATCTTCAAACGTCGACAGCCCGAAAGGAAACCGAAACACTAGCGATGATCCCCACCAAAAGCATATAAATCAACTGCAGACCT